TTCCTTGACTTTGAAACCTGGAAGATCCTTTGGGGGCCAGGTGGCCGGCTCCATCCGCAGAAAAAGGAGCTGGTCTTCAAGGAGAAAAATGGGAAAGAAAAGGAGAAACCCAAAGGCCAAGTGTCCAAGTTTTAGAAGCCACAGAAAGGCAGTAAGCAGCTCTGCGGTGGATGCACTCAGACAGCCCCAGTCCTGTGTTTCTTATATCTCCATTTGGTAAATGTCTGGCCCCGCCATGTGTCATTCAGCCTGTTTGGGGAGATGTAATCAGAGTCTCCTGGGCTGACATGGGCCCCCCCCCCCGCCCCAGAGAGCTCGTCCCTCATTCCAACTCCGCCCCCTGTCACTGGTTCCCAGGCACACCCAGGGAGACCAACCCAGGCCCCTCCATGTCCACGAGCTATAGAGAGTGGAAGGGGGCTCACTTCCTGAGGGGTAGCTTGGATGTGCCTCGGGGGCGAGAGAATGGTCAGGACCCCTCCTGTCTGACGCAGCTTCTCCAAGCCGTGCAAGGATCCAAAGAAAACACAGCTGGAGGTGGGGAGGGGGAAGGGGAAGCCAGGCTAGGCATGTTGACATCTTGTGGAGGAATCCAACTGGTGTCCTGTGGTCTACTTACTTGGACCATTTAGTTCCTCCCGCTGTACCTCAGTCTGCCAGTCTATAAAACAGGGGCGATGATAGCTATTTCAAGGAATTGCTGTGAGGATTAAACGGGGTCATTTAAGAAGAGACACAAGTGAGTGGAGTGGTTAAGAGCAGGGGCTCTGGAGCCAGACTGACTCGAGCAAGTTCCTTAACCTCTCTGGGTCTCTACTTCCTCATCTGTAAAATGGGTTAATGATAACCTGTCTTATAGGACATTATGAGTTTTCTGTGAGTTAATATCTGGAAAGCACTTTTTGTTTGTTAATACTAGCACTTTTGTTTAGTTAATACTGAAGACCAGAGACATTTACTGAGCCCTTTAGTGTGCCAAGTACTAGGCCCAGCATTTTACATACTTTTATTTGGTAAGTTTGTTTGTATGTTTGTTTGTTTGTTTTGAGAGAGACAGCACGCGTGCATGAACCACAGTGGGGCAGAGGAATAAGCAAACCTCCTGGACCAGTGGGGAGCCTGTCGTGGAACTCTATCCCAGGACCCTGAGATTGTGACCTGAGCCAAAGTCAGATGTTTAACCGACTGAGCCAACCGGGAGCCCCATATACTTTAAAAAAAAAAAAAAAAAGATTTGCGGGGCGCCTGGGTGGCTGAGTGACATAAAGCCCCTGCCTTCGGCTCAGGTCATGATCCCAGGGTCCTGGGATCGAGCCCCACATCAGGCTCTCTGCTCCACGGGGAGCCTGCTTCCCCCTCTCTCTGCCTGCCTCTCTACCTACTTGTGATCTCTGTCTGTCAAATAAATAATAAATAAAATCTAAAAAAAAAAAAGATTTACTTATTTATTTTAGAGAGAGTGAGTTGGGGGGGAATGGGCAGAGGGAGAGGAAGAGAATCCTAAAGTAGACTCCCCACTGAACGCAGAGCCAGATGTGGGGCTCGATCCCAGGATCCCGAGATCATGACCTGAGCCAAAATCAAAAGGTGGCGGCTTAACAGACAGAGGCACCCAGGCACCCCAGCATGTTACATACTTTATTTAAAATCTCACCACCAGGGTGCCTGGGTGGCTCAGTGGGTTAAAGCCTCTGCTTTTGACTCAGGTCATGATCCCAGGGTCATTGGATCGAGTCCCACATCGGGCTCTCTGCTCAGCAGGGAGCCTGCTTCCTCCTCTCTCTCTGCCTGCCTCTCTGCCTACTTGTGACCTCTGTCTGTCAAATAATTTTTTTAAAAAATTAAAAAAAAAATCTCACTACCACCCAGAGAGGTAGGCACAGATGTGGAAATTGAGGCTCTTAAAGAGATTTATTTTTTTTCACCCAAAGTTTTTATTTATTTACTTGACAGAGAGAGAGATCACAAGCAGGCCGGGGGCGGGGGGATGCAGGCTCCCCGCTGAGCAGAGAGCCCGATATGGGGCTCGATCCCAGGACCCTGAGATCATGACCTGAACTGAAGGCAGAGGCTTAACCCACTGAGCCACCCAGGCACCCTGAGATTTACTTTTTAATTTACTCTAGAACAGGGGTTGGCAACCTACAGCTCATGGGCGCGAATCCAGCAAGCGGTCTGTTCGTGTAAGTCTTGTTTATAGCTGCCGTGGAGGAGTTTGAACAGCTGACCGGAGACCACAGAGCCAGCACAGCCTAAAATATGTACTATCTTATCTGACTTTTAACAGGAACAGCTCTCTGACCTCTGCTCTAGAAAATGACAGGAGCCGGATTTGAACCAGGTCTGTGTGATTCCAAAGCTAATTAAATAATACTTTGCTCTCCTCGTGGTTTAACAATATCGCTGTGATGGGTGCACAACAGGGGCTAGAAAAGGATTTCTGTCCTGTCCCTTTGAGTGCTGGGAAGTCCCTCCTTCCCTCTTCAAAGCTGGGAGTGAAAGTGGAAGGGATTTGGGGCTTCTGATTTCTTCATCTCTCAGATCAAGTGTTGAGGACTCAGAGAGGTTGCCAAAGACCCCCCTGGGCTGCCCAACTGCCAGTGTCACTGAAGTGTGAGGGCTGGGGGCACACGCTTCAGGAGGAAGGGGAAACCCAAGGGATGGAGAGTCAGGCTGCCAGGGCAAGTCCCTGGATTCAAGGCCAGTGAGTCCATCTTGTCCCCGAGCCCAGAGCTGTGTTTAGGGTCAGTCGGGCTGAGACAAACATGGGACAGGAGTCCCTTAAGAATCTGGGGTGCTATAGATGTCACCTGTCCCCCAGACACACCTGAGGGCTCCAAACCAGTTTAGTCACTCAGCAAATAGGCGGGACCTCCTCCGTGCAGGCACAGTTCTAGGCACTGGGAATAAGTGGGGAACCAGATCCTAGCTCTCATGTCACAGACCATGTCTCCATTCACCAATACTTTGGTAGACCGATATTAACTGGTCACAAGATATATAAAGCAAATAAGCCAGGCTGATGGGACTGAGAGTAATGGCGAGGTAGCAGGAAGTCCTCTCTGAGGAAATGCCGCTGAAGCTGAGACCAGCATGACAAGGAGCGAGCTGTGGGAAGATCAGGTGGAAAGGCATTCCAAGCAGAGGGAACAGCAAGTGCAAAGGCAGTGTGGCCAGAGCAAAATAAAGGGGGATGACAGAGGGTGGGTGACGAGACAGGGGCACGCGTGTAGCGTGCTTGGAAGTCAGGGCACAGAGGCCGCAGTTTATTCTGAGTGTCATGGAAAGCCCTAGATGCTAACAAAGGATGCCGATGATTGGGGCTGACATTTTCTGAGCCCTTACTAAATGCCAGGTGCTCATCAAGTCCTTTAAATCCATTAACTCTTAAAAAAAATGCATTAACTCTTAATCCCTACAAGCAGTCCAGATGTGGAAACAGGCCCAGAGAGGTTAAACCACTGGCCCAAGATCACACAGCTCCATTTAAAGCTCATTGGGGTTGCTGCGGAGACAGTGACATGCAGGAAACAAGAATCTCCTGCAGGACATCCCAGTGATACAAAGATGGAGCTTGCATTTCAGTTAAGAAATTGAGAAGAGGGCTGGGGCGCCTAGGTGGCTCAGTGGGTTAAAGCCTCTGCCTTCGGCTCGGGTCGTGATCCCAGGGTCCTGGGATCGAGCCCAGCATTGGGATCTCTGCCCAGCAGGGAGCCTGCTTCCTCCTCTCCCTCTCTGCCTGCTTCTCTGCCTGCTTGTGATCTCTGTCTGTCAAATAAATAAATAAAATCTTAAAAACAAACAAACAAAAACTGGCATTCTAAAAAAAAAAAAAAAAAATTGAGAAGAGGGGCGCCTGCATGGCTCAGTCGGTTGAGCATCTGCCTTTGGCTCAGATCATGATCCCAGGGTCCTGGAATGGAACCCCATGAGCCCCACATTGGGCTCCCTACTCAGCAGGGAGCCTGCTTCTCCCTCTCCCTCTGCCTGCTGCTCCCCCTGCTTGTGCACTCTGTCAAATAAATAAATAAAATCTAAAAAAAAAAAAAAAAAAAAGGAAAATGAGAAGAAAGAAAACTAACATCTGCCAGGTTTTCTGCTTGAGCCAGGCTCCAGGAAGAGTGAGGGCTACTAGAGTTCAAAGGCATTAAGGCACTTCCTCCTCTGGATATCCTTAGCTCTTTCTTCCTTCCTCTCCTCAACCCTTTCTGTCTCATGTGCTTGTGGGGTGTGCCTCTCATCCGAATAGCCAGTATTTATTTGGCACTAATGGTGTGCCATGTACTGTGCTCAGTACAGCCAGGAGGCACATTTATTCTTGCAACGACCTTGTTGTTTCTGTTTTTGGAAGAGGAAGCTGAGTCTCAGCGCTGCTTCAGTAGGGGTCCAAGAATTGGACGAATTCCAAGAATTTGAATCCTGGTCTGTCGGACTCAAGATTCTAAGCACTAGCTACTGGGCTAGAAATACCACCTCCCACCCTTTCACAGTTCGTGGGTTTTCTGGTAGTAGCTGTCCAGTGGTCTTTACGTCTGGTTTCCTGCTAGGGTGGGTCCATACTAGTGCCAACCTCATAGGTTAAGATTAAATAAGTTCCTCTAGATCTAGGATGACTAACCATCCTTGTTGGCCTGGGACTGAGGGGGTTCCCCGGAAGGGAGACATTCAGTTTCAAAGCTAGGAAGGTCCTGGGCAAATCAGGACATGTTGGCATTCCTACCTGGATGAGTGTGCTTAGTGCTACATATGTGTTCAGTGGACACTCACCTTTATTGCTTTTCCTTTCCGCTTTCATCCATTTGACAACAAACAAAGGTTAGGGTTAGCCGGCACCTACTCTGTGCCAGTCCCAGGAGCTGGGGACACACCGCAGGCAGTAGATGGAGATACTGCGGGGAGAACCTAGCTTCAAAGATTCACACACACAAAACCCACAGTCCCTGGGAAACACCAACCCTGCCTGCCTCTGGGGTGACTCCAGCAGTCTGCGCCGACCTCCTGGGCAGGCAACACTTGCTTGGACTCTGGTGGGAGAAGTCTCCAGGGCCTGTTAGGTCCCTACATAGTGACATAGAGACATTTGGTGGTGGTGGTGGTGGTGGGGTCCCCGGGTGAAGCCTGCCAAGAAGAGGTCTTGATGATTGTAGGCGGAAAGGAAGAAAATGTGCCTTGGGCATTGATTTTGTGGGTGGTCCCAAGTATCCCGCACATTTTGCTGAATGAGGAAACTGAGGCAACAGTGACCCAAGTGAAGTGACTTGCTCAGGATCATACAAGAAGACATGGGCATTTGGAATTTAAACCAAGGTCCCAGAGAAGCAAGGACTGTTGGGATTGGGCGGGCCAATTCCTGCACTTCCCTCCCTCCTTCCCGGCTTGGGTCCCCCACTTGTCTTGACAGCGCCCGGCCTGTCACGGGGCTCTGTACAGCCCTCTCCACCCTCGCGGCTGCCAGCGTTCCGCCCCGTCCCCTCCCAGCCCCTGAGGGAGGAGGGGAGAGCGGGAGCGAGGAGGGGGGTCGGAGAGGCCCGGCATTATAAAGGCGGCAGGACCAGCACTGCCCGCCAGACCCCGCCGCCCGGATCCCCTGCTCAGCCCGCCGCCCCACGTGACCGCACCGACGGCCCCAGCTCCGCCGCAGTGAGTTGGGGCGCGTCCCCATCCACCCCCAGCCCCTCGCTGAGCTGCGTGGTCTACTGAACCCGGGTGGGGTAGAGATCCCATGAAGGCGGGCGCTGATATGGGGGTGGGGGGGTACCAGGCCGAATCGCGATGGCAGGGATTTAGGACCCGGGGGAGCCGGGAGACCGGTGAGCCCGAGATCGGGCCGGCAGCCCCCTCTACTCCCCCCGGCGCGGGGCCTGGGAGACTGCGAGACACCCCCCAGGAATGCGCGTGCAGCCGTTTCCATAGTAACAGGCAAGCCGCGCCCGCCCTCTGCTAAAGGAAAGGGGGGGCGCTGGTACCCGGGAGGTCCAAACTCATCACGTGGCGGGTGCACGGGGGGACCGAAGATGTCCCCTCCCTTTCCCCCGTGTCCCAAATCCTCTGGGAACCAGAGCGCGAGTCGCATCGCCTCTCTGAGCCTCAGTTTCCGCATCTGCCAAATGGAGGCAATATAATTGGTTCCAAGTTCCCTGAAGAGCTGTTTCGAGGGTAAGGATCCGGCCAGTCCCTTTTCTGGTTGGACAACCGGGGAGTGGGTTTTGGCGGCCCTGATGACTCCAGCGACCCTACCCCACCCCAGGCCCGCTCGCCATGGCCCTCCTCGGGGCCCTCCTCCTAGCGTTTCTGGTAGGCGCTCATGCGGAGCTCCCCGGCTGCAAGATCCGCATCACCTCCAAGGCGCTGGAGCTGGGTAAGGCGCTGGGCCGGCTGAGGGCCGATGAGGGAGGGGTCGTCCAGGCCGTGGGCGCAGGACCTAAGGGTCTCACTGCTACTTCAGTGAAGCAGGAGGGCCTGCGCTTTCTGGAACAAGAGCTGGAGACCATCACCATTCCGGACCTGCGGGGCCGGGAAGGCCAATTCTACTACAACATCTCGGAGTAAGCAGGAGACCTGGGGGGCGGGGCCTCGGGCCTCGGGGCGGGGCCTCGGGCCGGGGGGAGGCGGGACAAAGTGGGTGGGGTAGGGGCGTGGCCACATCTTGGGGGAGGGACTCAAGAAACAGGATGGGGGCGGAGAATATAAAGGCCAAGCCCTCCAACATAGGCGGGACCAAGAACCGCAAAGCAGAATCCTTGCAGGCTGAGGCGTGGCTAAAGAGCCCCGGAAAGGGGGAGTCAGGAAACTTGCCCTTGGATGAGAGTGGGGTCTAGGCCCCGAGATGGAGCTAAAGGGAAAGGTACCAGGAAACAAGAGACAAGAACTTGCGATGGTGGGGATAGGAGAAATGGAATATGCAGCTCAGCAGACAGAGACAAAATCAAAGCATTCGGTTAAAAGAGCAGGTCAATCACTACAGGGTGTGAGAGGGAAGGGAGTGTAAGCAATCAGGCCTCTGAAGAAGGGGTGAAGCTCACTTTTAACACCTGGGTCTGGAGAAGCTCATCTCCAAGCTGTCCAAGTCCAGGCTCGGCACTTGAGGGGAAGTGGGAGAATTCCTTCCACCCACCTCAGCTTTCCCAAGCCTGGACGGGGGGGAGGAGGGAATGAGTTTTCTGTGGTTGGGTGAGACCACCTCTTCGTGGTCCTGAAACTAATCCCGAGGCTTCCTGAAGGGTGAAGGTCACAGAGCTGCAGCTGACATCCTCTGAGCTCCATTTCCAGCCAGAGCAAGAGCTGGTGCTACAGATCAGCAACGCGTCCTTGGGGCTGCGTTTCCGGAGGCAGCTTCTCTACTGGTTCTTGTGAGGACCTGGCACTGCCGGGGAGTGGAGGGTGGGTCAGGAGGGCCGGGAGGCCGCGGGGCTGTGGACAATTGTTTAGCCTTCCTGTGTCTCAATTTCTTCATCTGTGCAATAGGGACAAGCAGACCCACTTCATAAGGGTTTGGTAGAGTGTCTAGTAAACCGGGGAAGTGAAGACTTATTAAGAAACATCATGACAGGAGGCTCCTGGGTTGCTCAGTGGGTTAAAGCCTCTGCTTTCGACTCAGGTCATGATCCCAGGATCATTGGATCGAGTCCCACATCGGGCTCTTTGCTAAGCAGGGAGCCTGCTTCCTCCTCTCTCTCCGCCTGCCTCTCTGCCTACTTGCGATCTCTGTCTGTCAAATACATAAATAAAATCTTAAAAGAAAAAAAAAGAAGTATCATGACGCAGCGCCTGGGTGGCTCAGTGGGCTAAGATTCTGCCTTGGGCTCAGGTCATGATCTCAGGGTCCTAGGATGGAGCCCCAAATCGGGCTCTCTGCTCAGTAGGGAGCATGCTTCCCCCTCTTTCTCTGCCTCTCTGCCTACTTGTGATCTTTTTGTCAAATAAATATATAAAATCTTTTAAAGAAAAGTATCATGAGGTATGGGGTGGGTGGGGGCTGGCGAAGACCCTGTTAGGCTGGACATTGACTGCCCCACCCCCCCTTGCAGGTATGATGGGGGCTACATCAATGCCTCTGCCGAGGGTGTGTCCATCCGCACTGCTCTGCAGCTCTCCCGGGATGCCACTGGCCGCATCAAAGTGTCCAACGTCTCCTGCCAGGCCTCGGTCTCCAGAATGCACGCAGCCTTCGGGGGAACCTTCAAGTAAGCCCGATCTCCAACCCAGGGCACCCCCCTTTGAGCCTTACTGCCTAGTACGATGCAAAGTGCACAGACTTGGGAGCCAGGTCAACAGGGTCCAACTCTCAGCATCCTCATTTCCCTGCTGTGTGACCTTGGTCGAGTCACTGAAGCTCTGTGCCTCAATTTCCTCATTGGTAAGATGAGGATGATAATAGGAACTATTTTATAATTTTATGTTCTGAAGACTGTTTGTTAATATATGTACAAATATTTAGAACAGTGCCTGGCATGTTAGTGGCTAGCTTCCTAGGTAAGAGTAATTGTGAGGATCAGTATGTGCAGCTGGACATGAACTCAGTAATTGGTAGCCCTCACTACTACTGATAAAAACAATAGCATAATTTCAGGTTTGGGGCTGAGAAGGGGACTTAGTGATTGTTCTCAAAGAGAGTGGGAAAGAAAAGATGGTGGATTTATCATCGGGTGTTGGTAGACTGCCAAGTTTTTATTTATCAAAAAAATAATGTATATGCAAGTCCTTGAGGATTCATAAAGGAACTCAGAGCCTAGCTGAAGGGACAAAATATTTGTTATTGGGGCTTTGAGGGAGGGACGGAGTCCTCCCTGAGTTCAGAAGAGGGTAATCTGGGAAGACTGCCTGGAAGAGGAAGCATCTGAGCCTATACAGAGGGACATACAGGACAGGAACGCTGAGGGTGGAAGGGAGGGTATGAGTAAGCATCTGGAAGTGGGGATGCTTACAGCAGGTTTGAAGAACTGGGGGTAAATTCATGGGGCTGGTGGGGGCAGGGATTAGGTCTTGAGAATAAGGCTAGAGAGGGGATTTGGAAACCCTCCATTAAAGAGGTGGTAGTACAGTAAAGCTGAGCCACCTCCTCCCCATCTCTCAGGCTAGTGATTTCTCCTGGGCCTGGATTGGGGTAGGGCAGAGTCTGGGCTCACGTGGTCTCTCCCCTTCTTGCAGGAAGGTGTACGAGTTCCTCTCCACATTCATCATCTCGGGGATGCGCTTTCTCCTGAACCAGCAGGTACAGCAGTAGTGTGTGTGTGGGGTGCCCTCCCCTCTTTGGAAGGCCCTGACTCTAGACCCCACCTCGCAGATCTGCCCTGTGCTTTACCACGCAGGGACGGTGCTCCTCAATTCACTCCTGGACACTGTGCCTGGTGAGTTGGTGCTGGCCGGGAGGGAAGCTCCGGGCCATGCCTGGGACTGGACTAGGGGTGAGGAGGGGGCTAGGTATGCAGCTGCCAGGCAGGGCCTCAGAGTAGCCCCCTGCCATGCCCTGGCCTCAAATAGGGCCTCTGCTGCTGACTGGCCATGTGGCCCTAGGTAAGTACTCACCTTTCTCTGGGCCCTGGTGTCTTCGCTTGGCTGCCAATGCCTCCCTGTGGGGGTTGTTGGAACGAGTAATTGAGCGGTGATTGTCTATGTCCTCGATATGGACTTGCTGATCACTGGGAACTTGTCTGTATTCATCCCTTGCACTTAACAGGTGTTCAGCTAACACGAATTCCCTTTTCCTGCTGTGACCTCTGCCTGCTGTGGGGTAGAGATCATCACGCCCCACACACAGGGCATGGGGAACAATGAGGGAAAAGAATCCCTTGCCGTCTTGTTTAGTGATCTCATGGAGCCCTTGTCATAGGGGTGGCGATGGCAGGAGTGGTCATTAATATTGCTGAGCACTGAGTGCTTCCCACGTAAAACCAATTTGATCCCCACAACAACCCTACGAGGGAGGATTTCTAATCACCACATTGTGGATGAGAAACAGGCCCAGAAGGGTGAACACAGCTTGAGTGACTGCGCTCCTTCCCACAGTTCGCAGCTCTGTGGATGAGCTGGTTGGCATCGACTACTCCCTCCTGAAGAACCCAGTCGCTTCCGACAGCAACCTGGACATGGACTTCCGGGTGAGCTGCCTGGCTGCTGTGGTGTCTCTGGCCTAACTAGACCTCCTCCTTGTTCCCGGTGTTGCTCATTTTGTCCTCTGAAGGCACAGCTCTGGGCCACTCCACTGCTGAGTGGATCCCCATGGCCTGCAGAATTTGGTTCAACCCCTGGGTCTGGCTTCTGAGCCTGGTTAACCTTGTCTGGCCCCACCTTTCTGACTTCACCCTGTTTCTCTGCACTCATTCTTTCCCAAATATGCCCCTGGCTTCCTGCCTCAGGGCCTTTGCTCATGCGCTGCCCTTTCCCACCTCCCCTGAAGCAGTTGGGCATAACAGCTCTATGCACATAATCTATGTAAATGTAAACAGCAGCTTTTCTCACTCCTGCTCTGTATCTTTCAAGACCCACGCACAAGCCACCTCCTCCCCAAGTCCCTTTCCTGGGTGTCCCTTCTCTGGCCTAATGGGAGTGCTCCCTTGCAGAACTCCAGCTGCCCTCCTTTGAATGACTTTTTAGAGTTGTGCTAACAATGAGGGCACCTGGTGGGGTGTTGGTAGAGCATGCGACTCTGAATCTTGGGGTCGTGAGTTCAAGCCCCATGTTGGGAGGAGAGATTACTTAAATAAATACAACTTAAAATTTGTGCTAATAAGACCCCTAAAGATAGCAACTGGGTCCAACCCTCACGGGGCCTGGCACCGGGCGTGGGAAGATCTGGGTGCTGGGCCAGGCTGACCCTGATCCCCCAACTGTAGGGGTCCTTCTTTCCTCTGGCTGAGGGGAACTGGAGCCTGCCCAACCGGGCGGTAGAGCCCCAGCTGCAGGAGGAGGAGCGGATGGTGTACGTGGCCTTCTCGGAGTTCTTCTTTGACTCTGCCATGGAGAGTTACTTCCGGGCGGAAGCCCTGAAGCTGTCCCTGGTGGGGGACAAGGTATGTTGGGGTCTGTCTGCTGGATGGCCAAGAGGGGACCTGTCCGAAACTCCCGATAACCCTGCCTCATCCTCTTCCCCTCTCCAGGTGCCCCACGATCTGGACATGCTGCTGAGAGCCACCTACTTTGGGAGCATTGTCCTACTGGTGAGTGTTGGCAGGAGGTAGGGACGTGGCCAGGGTGGGCGGCCATACCACCTGCACACCAGCGAGGGGACGCGTGAGCTGTACAAGCAGAGGCCCCTGCAGCCACTGCGCATTAGACAGAAGGCCTGACCTCTCGCCTGTGGCTAAGTTCTCTTATTTGTCAAGGTCGATTCCAGGTCTGGGAAGGGCCCTTGCTGCTGCTTCATGAAGCTAGGAGGAGCACAGGCTGAGAACCCAAGCTCTCTAAGTGTAGGGACTCTAACAATGACCGACGTATTCTTTTTTTAAGTTAATTTTTTTAATAATCTCTATGCCCATCGTGGGGCTCGAGCTCATTACCCTCACGATTAAGCGTCCCATGCTCTACTGACTGAGCCAGCCAGACGCCCTGATGTATTCTTCTTTTGCCTTATGATTTCCCCTTGTTTCATGGGAAGAGGGTTGGGAGGTCAAAATCTAAAAAGTATCTCAGTGACCGTTAGAGGGCTTGCCCTTAATCTCTTCTACACTATACAGCCTCCCAGGGCTGTCGCTGAGGATTAACTGAATTAATTCACGTAAAGAAATTAGAGCAGCCCCTGGCGCAGGTTAACTGCTCAGGAAACACAAGCTGCTGTTCCTGCTGCTGTCATCCCCATCGTCACCATCTACCTGATGGCCAAGTGGTGGGGGAGGGTCATGGACTCTCTGGCCAGACTGCCCAGGTCTGCATCCCAGGGTCTGCACCTGGATGACTCCAGAACCTTGGACAAGTTACTTAACTTCTCTGTGCCTTGGTTTCCCCATCTCCAAGATGAGCATGAGAGCACCTGCCTCACATGGTTATGATGAGGTCTGAATGAGCTCACATAGGCAAAATATTGGTCAGTGCCTACACGGGAAAGAGCACAGCAGTGCAGAGAAAAGGACGATACGGCAGAGGGTGGGGATATCTGATGCAAACACTGTCCCAGAGGAGTGTGGCTAGAGATAGATCCCCACTAGCAAGAACTCAGGAAAGCAGTAGAAGGAGACATTCCATCCCTCACGTGAGCAAAGGCACAGAGGCTGGGCACAGTTCTGAAGGGTCTGGGAAGCCACACCAGTCCTTGTTATTTTCGGGTCTGGGCTCCCAGCAGGCAGAGCCTGAGCCACCCCATGTTCCCTCCTGGGGCTCATCAGGGAGCAGATCTGGGACTATCCCCGCCCTCCCCCACTCTGTCCCCAGAGCCCAGCGGTGATCGACTCCCCGCTGAAGCTGGAGCTGCGCGTCCTGGCCCCACCTCGCTGCACCATCAAGCCCTCGGGTAGCACGGTCTCCGTCACTGCCAGTGTCACCATAGCCCTGGTCCCACCTGACCAGCCCGAGGTCCAGCTGTCCAGCATGACCATGGTGCGGACACTAGAGCGGGGGTACTGAGGGTCGGGATGAGCATGCTGCGGACCCCGTGGGTCAGTAACCCTGCTGCAACCCCCTTGCCTGTAGGACGCCCGTCTCAGCGCCAAGATGGCACTCCGGGGGAAGGCGCTGCGCACCCAGCTGGACCTCCGCCGGTAAGCAGCCAGTCAAGGTCTCGGGCAAGCGCTTCACCTTGCTGAGCCTGAGTGCCTTCAGGATAGTCGCACCTGTTCAACAACAGATCTACAGCTATTGGGGAGCTAGGGTCTTTGTTCATGTGTAACAAATGCATTTTAATCAGGTGGAATTTCTCTAGATTATCTTATGACCCAGAGGCAGGCAGAGCAGGTCTTCTGAGAGGAATGAACCAGCCCAGCAAGGTTAAGTGACGTGCCCACGGTCCCACAGTTTCACAGCAAAGAGCCTAACCGCAGGGGTTCAGGCAGAAACAGCCCAGCTTTTCCAATCTTAAGAGTCACTTCACCTTCATTTTCTTCATGGACTAAATGGAGAGAAAAATAGCACCTACTGTGTGAGCCACAGGCAGCCAGGGGCTACTACACAGCGGGGGCAAATGTGCCACAGTCTGCGGAAAGTTCTACTGGACAGCACTGTCCCAGAGGTTAAATGAGATATTGCAGGGTCGTGGTTAAGAGTTTAGATTCTACGGGCGCCTGGGTGGCTCAGTGGGTTAAAGCCTCTGCCTTCGGCTCAGGTCATGATCCCAGGGTCCTGGGATCGAGCCCCGCATCAGGCTCTCTGCTCAGCGGGGAGCCTGCTTCCCCCTCTCTCTCTGCCTGCCTCTCTGCCTGTGATCTCTGTCTGTCAAATGAATAAATAAAATCTTAAAAAAAAAAAAAAGAGTTTAGATCCTAGAGGCAGCTTCTGCCCTCTACCAGCTGTGAGACCGTAGGCGAATGCCTTCGGCTCTCTAGGCTCGATCTGCCTCATCTAAAAAGTACAGATCATTTCATAGCGGGAGGATGAAGTCACTTCTTAGAGCTGTCGGGAGGATGAAGTCACATTGGCATTTTAAAATATCTTACTATTTAACTTCTGTAACATGCTTAGTACCTAGGAGGAAGTAAGCTCTGTAAGTTTCATTAAACAAACACAAACCATACATGCCAGGCGGTCAGGCCAAGTCTGGTATACAGGAAGTGGTCAATGAATTACAAGTAGCAAACTTGAAGAAAAGGAACCGAAAGCGGGAGAAAGGACTCCCCCACCCCGGGATGCACATCTGGCGAGTGGCAGAAGCCGCAGACAGGTGTGAGGATGGGAACATCTGAGGCTGAGACTGAGGGGCATCGGGTGGCCTGAGGAAGGGGAACTTCTGGGCCTTGAGCTTACTGGACACTTCTTTCTCTCCCGTAGGTTCCGAATCTATTCGAACCAGTCCGCTTTGGAGTCCCTGGCAGTGAGTTGGGGGTGGAGGGAGTGCCGAGGCCGGGTCAGGGCTGGGCAGCGGAGGCCTGTCGGCTTCCTACGGCTCGCCCTGACGTCCTGCCCTCTCCCTCCCAGCTGATCCCGCTGCAAGCCCCTTTGAAGACCATGCTGCAGATTGGGGTGATGCCCATGCTCAACGGTAGGGCTGGGGGTCGGAGGGCAGGAGAGGGAAGAGAGAGGGGAGCTGGGTGGATCCCGGCTGAGCCAACTGCTCCCACCCACAGAGCGGATGTGGCGGGGGGTGCAGATCCCACTACCCGAGGGCATCAACTTCGTGCGTGAGGTGGTGACGAACCATGCGGTGAGTGGGAGGGTTGACGGAGGAGGGCAGAGCCTCCCTGCCCCTGATTCACCACTAACCTAACTGGGCTACCTGACCCCAGCTCCTCCCTCATTGACGGCCCCTCCCATTTTAATCTTCCATATCAGACTTCTCCAGCCCTCGGCACAGCTGTGCCCTCACCTTCTAAGCCTCTTCCCGGATTCCACCCCGAATATCTACTTATCTTGACCGTCTGAGCTAAGAGGTCACCTCCTCCAGGAAGCCCTCCTTGACCTCCACAGACTGTGTTCCTGCAGCCTCTCTTTTACACCCTTCACAGGGAGCTAGAAGACTTTCTTTGCTGCTCCTCCTGTCCCACTATACAGAACCCCTCAAGGCTAAGAACTCTGTCTCTATCTTGAAATTTTGGCCTCTGTGATGGAATGAACAGACTCCCCTCTCTGCCCCACTGCACAGGGCTTCCTCACCATCGGGGCCGACCTCCACTTTGCCAAAGGGCTGCGAGAGGTGATTGAGAAGAACCGGCCTGCCGACACCCGGGACCCCTGGACATCCAGTGCCTCTCCACCCTCCACAGCGGCTGCCTGAGTCCTCAAGCCCACCCTGGGAGGGGCTTTTGGGACTCCAGACGCCTGTCATCCCCTCCCCCAGGACCTTCCACTCCCAGCCTATAGTGTCCTAACCCCCAGTGCCACAGAGAAGACAGGGCTTTAAGCTGTACCCAATTTAATTCCATAATCAGTCAATCCATTGATTACAGTCCGTCCACCCTCCCCATGGGCTGTGCTGAGCTCTGCTGTGTTCCAGTGCATGAAGGGAGGGGCCAGGCCCCAGCCCAGTCAGGAATAAAGTGCTAACTCCCCCAGGCTGTCTACTGAAGCACTGGGGCCTGGTCTGGGAGGCAGAGGGCTGTGGAGGGGTCAGTGGTGGGGGGGGGTAGGTTGGTTCTGGAGGCCGGGATCTGCCCCACAGGGGCATTTTGCATAAAAGAGGGCCTCCCTCCTAGCAGGAGAGGCAGGAAAGGAAAGGGGCTGGATCAGAAGGGGGACTTGTCTCTGTCAGTATGGCTGCATCAGGCAGAAGGGGGACTGGTCTCCATCAGTACGGCTGCTTATTCAGGAAGCGGGAGAACATGGTGAGGGCAGCCTGGGGCTTGTCGGTGGGGACCATGTGCCCAGCGCCCTAGAAGCAAAGCTCTGTGAGATCACCTTCCTGTGTCACCCCTGCCCCTGGGTGCCCCCTCCATCCTACTGGATCCCTCCAGCCAGTGACCCTCCTCTTCTCCCACTCCCTCCAGAAAACTTGCTCTTATGGGCCCAGACGGTAACCCAGTGTAACAGAGAGCTGGGAGGAGAGGATGGGTGGGTCCTGCCCCATCTCCTCCAGCCAAGCCAACCCTCGTCAGGCCCAGGCTCTACCTTGATGGTGAGAAAGGCGATGTGGGAGAACTCCTTCACGAAGCCAGCAATCTGCTCTCCACTGTCCCCGTAGTCCACTAACCAGGGCCGGCGCTGGACCTCCATCTGCCCCACCAGGAAAGACTTAGCAGCCTGCTGCTACCCACAGCTGCCAGCAAGACCTCAGGGCCCCGGAACTCCCCCAGGTTTGCCCTGTCTGTCTGCCCAGAGCCCAGTTGCCAGGCACAGCTGCCCCATCCCTCCCCAGAGCTGGGATCCTTGTGCCTTACCTTCTGGTTGAGGGAATCCACGAACCACTCATCCCCCATGAAATTGCAAGCCATATCCACATCTCCGTTGTACAGCAGGATCCGGTATTTCTGAAGCCGGGCAAGAGAGGGAATGGGGGCTCTGGCGTGAGCACAGGACCCAGCCCTTCCCTAGTTCAAGCCCTACCCCTTCAGGGAATTCAGGGGACCCAGCTAAATAGCATGAAGCAGGAAACACTCAGGTTTTCTGTTTTCTACATGTCCAGTGCTCTACTAAATGCTTCACCCGTGAAGGTGGATACTGTTATTAACCCCATTTTACAGGTGGGGAAACCAAATCTCAAGATATGAGAAACGTGCCCAGGGTCATACGGCTAGTAAAGGAACCTGCACACAGTCCATTTGACACTAGAGCTCCTGCTCTAATCACTGTGGATACAGAATCTGGTCCTGACTGGCTGTCAGGGTCTCCTAGATGACCTTAGACAAGGCTCTTTCCCACCCTGGACCTCCATTTGCCTGTCTGTAACATGTTCTCCCAGCTCTTCTCCACCTAAAGTCTCCTTGGCCGATGCGGAACCCCCAGCCTCCTACCACAGAGCAGCATGGGGTGGGGGACAAAGCCATGTTCAAATCGTGACCCTGTATCACTGGGCTTCGTTTCTTAGAGTTTCAGCTTCTGGTGTCCAGAGTGGCACTCTCAAGGGGGCCCTGAGGTTGCTGGTGGCCCCCACCGCGCGGCCCCCACTCACCTGCGTGGTGAGTAGCTTCAAGTACTGGTCCTGCACACTTTGGTAGAGGCGGCGGTACTGTATATTCACCAGGAAGCTGCGGGAGCACATGGGCAGGCCCCATGAAGACCAGGTAAAGGGGAACAGAGTCACATAGCAGACCTCCCCCTCTTGTCCCCTCCCAGCTCGAAGCTCCAGCCCAGGGGGCAGAGCTGGGATTCAGTCCCCTCCTTGTGTCACGTCTCCAGGACTTAGTTGGACGAGAGGCTGGAACGCTGAAGTCCTCCACTCACCCGCGTTGGGAAGCGTAGACGGAAACATTTAGTGACGGGCCCACGATTGGGATTTAGCACCGAGGGGCCCACGGGTGTGAGAACCACAGAGCGTTAACGGCAGGAGGGCAGGGGTACTGGTCAATCAGAATGGACTTGAGTGGCCCCTGCCATGCCGGGCGTCACCATGTTACTCAACACGGGTCACAGGAGACCTGTGCAACTGAGAACTGTAGTGGAGCGGGGGTGGGGGACAGGGTCTGTTGACTCACTACTGGGGAAGCAAACTAACATTTTACCAATGAACTGGTGAAACCTTCATCAGCTGAAGGGTTAGACTTCCTGTACAACTAACTCACCGCCACACCCTGAAGGCCACCCCTGAGAGACCCTGGCCAAGGGGCTCCTGGGAATCCGTCTGATACCCACAGGCCCCGAGAGCCTGCCACCCCCAGACCACGGCTGGCCGCAGCGCCTCACTTGCACATGTCCCAGCGGGGCAGCTGCTCAGGGACGTGGAGGGCCTTGCGCACATAAGGGTTGTTGAGGTAGGTGGAGGCGGCCGTGGTGTTGGTGCAGGGCGGGTCCATGCGCACCCTGTCCCCAGAGCGCAGCAGCAGCACCTGGGAGAGCAGACCAAAGGTCAGGGTCTTTGCCGCCCTGGTCCACCCCCACCAGAAGCAGCTCAGATATTTGCACACCTGATGCCGTGTCTGCTTGATCGGCAGGCGAGTGAAGATGTTGCCGAAGTCGTGGAGCACGACCGTGTCCTCCTCGAACCTGCCAGTGAAGTAGGGGATGGGTGCCTCCGTCTCCAGGCGGGGCTAGGGCACCCAGGGCACACCGCAGGGCCTACCTTAAATGCCCAGGCACACCCCCAGCGCAGGGGGCGTAGAGGTTGTAAATGTTGAGGCCCAAGTTGCCCACGATGCGGGACACTTCCTGTAGCTGCAATGACACGCCGAGCCACCCCCGTGTCACAAAGCCCTGGTCTCCCCAGGATCTCACCAACACGTCCCAAGATTCATCACTCTCCTGCTTCGCCTCTTGTTGTTACCCTTCCCCCACTTTTTTTACAGGTAGGGGAACTGAGGCTCAGTGGAAGGCCTCTGCCAGCCCGGGGTCTAAATGCTGGTGGCACTACTTCCTAGCACTGTGACTTCAGGCGAGTAACTTTAACATTCTCGACATCACTTTCCTCTTCTGGAAAATGTGGACAATACGATGTCCCTTAAAGAGGAAACTTAAATATTAAATAATCCGTGTGGACCTATGTCAGCCCAGTGCCTGGAACACTGTAGATGTTGAGAGATCCTTTCCCTCCCAGGGATTCTAGGATTTGCCCAGAAAGTCACAGGAAGTAGTGACAGGAACACATCCCTAGATGTGTCCCAGAAAACACCAAATTGCTGTAGGAGGCAGGACAGGAAAACCAAAGGGGACAGGGTCAGGGAGTCCCCAAGGAAGGGATGTGGTCCTCTTCTCTGGGCTGGGGGTGTCAGGGGTGACAGAGGTTGGGGGAAGAACCTCACATTAGTCACGCATTCTGGGTCAGTGTTGTCGTAGAAATTACACTTGTTCTGAGAGCAGCAGTGGGTCTGGAGGGAAGACCAGAGCCTGTAGGAGAGGCACAAAAGCATTCAGGCCCAAGGGGGACCTCCCACTTTCTCCCTCCAACCTCCCACCACCACCTGCCTCCCAGGGTACAAGGAAACGGATCACAGGGGATGATATGGAGGTTCTCCATCTAGCTGCTCTGGGGCCATCCTACCAGCCCTCCTCAGTCCCTTCCCGCACCGAACACTTCTAGCAACCCCAGCCCCCACCTCCTGGTCATAAACTGGGGTAGGGCCCGGGGGTATCATGTGCCTGGAGAGCAGACCTGAGATCTCATGACCTGCCCCACCCGGGAGATTGCCCAACCGCCCCCTCCCATACCTGTTCCCCAGAAGGCCATGGTAGTAGGCGAAATAGACCAGGGAGTTGTCATTCTGCTCATAGGAGGAGAGTCCATTGCCCACAGCCAACCCCTGTGAAACAGCCAGGGCATCCAGGTCATCTGGAGGGAGAGGAGGAGCCTCCCTGGGCTACACCCAGACCTCCAGCAATGTGGACACTGAAATCCAAGCTGGTTTGTGGGGAGGCCACTCAAAGAACAGATCTGGCTGGCTGACAGGTGAGTTTCCGTCCTGGGAGGCACGTGAGCAGAAGCAGTCCAGCCAGTGGCAAGCGCATTACAAAGGAGACCAAGTTGGACAGGGAAGATGGCCTGCCTGACCTCACTCACCGAAAGGCCATGACCATAAGCTGCCTCACTCCCCTCCCGCAGCGGCTCTACCTGCAGGTTCATGCTGGGATCCTGCATGACCAACACGGCCAGGGTAGGGATGTAAATGCCGGCATAGCTCTCTCCTGTCAGGAAAAGCTCATTGTCCTTGTACTCTGGGAAGAGGCGGAAGAAATCCTTCAGGGCCTCAAAATTGCTCTGGGCGACCTAGGGAAAGCAGGATGGAGGGAACCGAAAGCTGCTGGTATTGGAGCTAGAAAGAACTTCAGAGATCATGACACCCAGCACCCACTCTGAGCAAGAGGAAGTGGCTTCACCAAGACCACACACAGCCTGCGAAAGAGCCAAAAACAGACTCTAGCGCCATGTTCTTCTCTTCCAGCTCATGCTACCCTTAGAGAACTGGGGAGGCTGGGGCACAGGGCAGGCACTGGACTCACCTCGGTGTCGTTGGTGGCATAAGTCTTGTCGTCAGAGTAGGAGAAGCCCACCCCAGCTGGGGACTCAAGGTACAACACATTGGCAATCTACATGGCAGGAGGAAACCAACTGAAGAAGGCTCCCCAACCCATCGGAGTGCCCGGACACCCCCACGGGACCCCCGGCTCCAGCTATACCAGGTTCCAAGAATAGGGGTTGTACTCCAGCGTGGCACCATCTGGCTGCACCTGAAGAGGAGAGAGAGGGCTGAGTGCCAAGGGCCACTGTGCTGGGCACTCCAAACTCGGGCAAACCCCCTGCGAGGTATAGAAAGTCAATGGTACAGACGAGGGAACCCAGGCTCAGGAGAACTGCACACTGGGAACACCTCCAAGTCCTGCTCTCCCTCCTCCCCAGCCCCCCCTTTAGGGACTGTCCCCTTCCTGGTTGTAGGGGGGAGACCGTGGCTTTCCACTCACCAGGAAGGGGCCGTGCTCTGTGAGGAAGCCATCTAGGGAGCTGCAGCCGGGCCCTCCGTTGAGCCAAAGCACCAGAGGGCTGCTCTTGGGATCCTTCTGCGATTCCACAAACCTGGGAGGGGAGGCAGAGCAGGGTGAGTGCCGGCGGAGGGACCCCTCCCAGCGCGCCCCGCTCCCAGGCTCCCCAGGAGGTTCAGACCCTCCTCCAGCTCGCGCCCCGTCCCCTCCCCGCCCCGGAGGGAGGGCCGCAGACCAGTAGTGGAGGTGCTTGGAGCCGGAGCCACGGAGGTAGCCGGAGTACTGGCGGAAAGCCGGCTGCTTGGCCAACCCAGGCAGGCACTGGATCTCATCGACGTCCGGTGCTGCCTGGCCTGCGGGCGCCCAGGGCAGGAGTAGCATCAGCAGCCAAGGAGGCGACAGCGCGGCTCCGATCATCTGCAGCAGGAAGCGGGGCCGCCTGTTTCCGCGCTCCCTCGCTCCTCGGCGCTTCCGCGGGCCGACCCCGCGGAGGAGCTGGCGGCGCGCGGCCAGAGAAGTCCCCGGCCAGGCTCCAGCGCCCACCCACCGCACCGCCCCGGGCCGCGGGTCCCCTCCGGCCTCCCGGGACGCCCTCACCTCTGCTCCCCCGCGTCCTCGCTCTCCAGAAGGGGCCCGGTCGCGGGATGTCATGTGAAGTCGGAGTCACGTGGGTGCCGGCGTCACGTGACAGTCATCCTGCCGGGGCCTCGCTGGTCCCCCGGGATCGGCGGCTCGCAGGCGGCGGCCTGCTTGCGGTCAGAGTCCGTGGTCCTCCCAGGTCGTGTCGCGCGCGCCAGCCATCAAATGATCCAGATGTGGGCGGCCAGGATCCCTCGGCCTCCCGGTGGGCCCCTGTCCAAGCGGGATGGCTGAGCAAGCGGCGCTAGGACCCCAGGGCAGAGCCTCGGGAAGGGCAGTCGGGGGGATGGGAGGGTTACCTTACTTGGTGCCCCCGCGGTCACCCTCTGAGCACGCCTCCCAAAATAGCCCCCGGCGCCCGCTGGCCTGTCTCGTGGCCGGGAGATGGCTGCTGTCTCCGACCCCGTGGACTTGGGAGCGGCCTGGAGATCCGCGCGTCCCGAGCCCCGTCCCACCCGCTTCCACCAGGTGCACGGTGCCAACATCCGCGTGGACCTCTCGGGGACGCGGGCCACACGCGTGGAGAGTTTCGCTCACGGCGTATGCTTCAGTCGCGAGCCGCTGGCCCCGGGACAGGTATTCCTGGTCGAGATCGAGGAGAAAGAGCTGGGCTGGTGCGGGCACCTGCGCCTCGGCCTGACCGCGCTAGACCCCGCCACTCTGGCCTCCGTGCCCGAGTTTTCGCTGCCCGACCTAGTCAGCCTCGGCCACACCTGGGTCTTCGCCATTACGCGCCATCACAACCGCGTGCCCCGGGAGGACCGCCCGGAGGCAGAGGCACTGGCCCCCAGCCGCCCCCCAGCCCTCCTGGTGGAACCGTATCTGTGCATCGAGCAGTTTCGCATTCCCCGCGACCGCCTGGTGGGTCGCAGCCGGCCTGGGCTCTACAGCCACCTCTTGGATCAGCTGTATGAGCTGAACGTGCTGCCACCGACCGCGCGCCGCAGCCGCCTGGGCGTTCTTTTCTGCCCACGCCCGGACGGCACTGCCGACATGCACATCATCATCAACGGCGAGGACATGGGCCCTAGCGCCCGGGGGCTGCCAGCCGCCCAGCCCCTCTACGCAGTGGTGGACGTGTTTGCCTCCACCAAGAGCGTGCGCCTGGTCCAGCTCGAGTATGGCTGTAGGTATCCCACCCCCTGAGCAGCGACCCCTCCTGGCCCAGTGTGGGAACAGGAACTTGCTAGGATTCTCAAACCAGCTAGCAAGACTTCTGTTTGTCCAGCCTTAGTTTAGAAGTTAGGGAATCAGACTTGAAATTCTGCCTTTGCTTGGGATCTTGAACAAGTCACTGCCTGGCTCTGGGCCTCCGTTTCGCCATCTCAGCTGTGATCTATTAGGTTGCTTGCTTTGCCAGTGTTTTCTGTATTAACCTAGGGCAGGGATTTTAAACTGTCACACCTGGGCTGCCTTGGAAGTTGTGTGCTTATTAGACAAATGCTCCTGGATTTGGGCATACCGGTTGAAAGGCATCATAGGCTCCAGATTGTTCGTGTGATCTGGTCCTTTATAGCCTTCTTAAGCCCCCCCCCCCTTTTTAAGATTTATTTATTTATTTATTTGACAGATCACAAGTAGGCCAGGGGGCGGGGGCAGGTTTCCTGCTGAGCAGGGAGCCCGATGCGGGGCTTGATCCCAGGACCCTGGGATCATGACCTGAGCCAAAGGCAGAGGCTTTAACCCACTGAGCCACCCAGGCGCCCCTAGCCTTCTTAAGCCCTTTATTATACCTCTGATCATTTTATGAATTCAGTGAACTAGAACCCACTCTTATGTCAGACCTGTGCTGGAGGCCAGGTGTGCACAGGTGAGTCAGGCACACTGCCTGTGCCCCCAGCAACTGCTAAGGGGGGGTTCCAATAGAAACAGGGCTGCAGCATTGTGGAGGTTTTGAAAGAGGTGCTATGTCAACCACATAAACGGCCTGTGATGCAGGCTGGACCTAGAAAGCAGAAGGGACTTGCCCAAGTTAATGACAAAAGGAGAACCAGGACCTAGGTCTTCTGGGTCTCAGCCTCAGATGCCCCTCCAGTTAAGTTTGCCTCTGACAGCATTCTTTCCACAGTGCCGTCCCTGCAGACTCTCTGCCGCCTAGTCATCCAAAGGAGCGTGGTGCACCGGTTGGCCATTGATGGGCTCCACCTGCCGAAAGGACTTAAGGATTTCTGCAAGTACGAGTAAAGGCCTGCAGCGGCCCTAGAACCGGGCCACGAGCATGTCCTGGCCCCGGAGCTGGCCAGGCCTGGAAATAAACTCAGCTGATGCTGACACCGATCACTGGACGGTCTCCTTGCCCTGGAAGCCCATTAGCAGCACTTGTAGAAACGTTGAGAGTCAGCAGGTCAGAGCAAGACAGGGCATTTTATTTAGTTATTTTTAAGATTTAATTTGAGAGAGAGCACATGATCAGGGGCAGAAGGAGAGGGAGAAGCAGCCTCCCCTGCCGAGCAGGGAGCCAATGTGGGGCTCCAATCCCAGGACCCTGGGATCATGACCTGAGCCGAAGGCAGACGTTTCACTGACTGAGCCACCCGGGCGCCCCTAGACAGCATTATAGACATCACCTAGACCAGCGTTCCTAGTCGGGCTGCTCATTAGGGTTATCTGAGATACACTGAAGAGCTGATGCCCCAAACCCCATCTCCAGAGATTCCCATTCTGATTGTTGGAGGATTAGGCCTACACGTTGTTCTTTTGTAAAAGCTCCCCAGAGATTCTAATGTACAGCCAGGATTGAGGGGCATTCCCCTAGGATAGAGGTCTTGACTTTGGCATATAGTATAACCACTTGAGGGACTAATACTAACTGGGTCTGACCCAGGGGTTCGGATTTAATTGGTCTGGGAGGAGGCTGGGCATCAGGATTTCTGAGCGCTCCCCAAAGAATTTAATGTCCATCCCAGTTTGACACCCTGGACCAACGATTTCATTCTGCAGATGGGAAACCGAAGCCTAAAGACGGGAATGTATTCTGAAGTCACATAGCAAATGAACGAGGGCAGAGCACTCCTTCTCATACTGCAGAGCACAAAGCACTCGCTTCTTTATTGGTATCTCTGATCATCTGCTTCCATGACAGATAATCTCATTTAATGCTCACGACTTCTGGTGAGGGAGTATCATTACTTCCATTTTACAGAGGAGAATATCAAGGAACAAAATTATCCAAGTGACTTGCCCAAGGTAGAGGTAAGAACCTAGAATGTCCAGTTCCTGGTCCAGCACTCTTTTAACCCCATGCTATTGTCATATACAGGTTCTAGAATGAACAGGTCAGTGCTGTGAGGTGGGTTCCAGGTGTAAAAGGGAGGGACTATGAGGTGACATTCTAGAATGGTGGAAGGGGTAGGACAGGAGGCAGAGGACTGTTCCCTCACAAACGGGGGCTTTGGGGCCGCCATGTCCTATTTCATGTCTCCACAAACTCATCAAGGTCTTCCGCCTTCCAGCCAAGGTGAGAGAGGGGCTCCTGGAACTGGAGGGGGCACCACAACTTTCCCTGAGAACTTGTTTTCCTGGCTCTGGGGAGGTGGAGGTTCTGCTGGACATTTCTGGGCTGGCCCTGGAATCAGTTCTCTGAAGAAAGCCATTCCAAAAGGTCTTGCCAGTAGCTACCTGCTCACTCATTCATTCAACAAACACTTCTCCATTACCTACTCGGTGTTGGGGACTGGGAGTGCGGAAATGAGTAAAACACCTAGTTCCCAACCACTAGACAGCCCTGTTGGGCTGGTCTTAATCACTCCTGTTTCCAGTACTCTGCTTCTATGCCCTGCCCCTCAGGGCCTCCTGAAAGACACTGAGAGTAACATTCCATCTCGTTCCTGTCTCTACAGGTGGGGCTGCTTCTCCAGGCTCATCCCTTGGCCTCTATAGTCCTATAGAGCCAGTGGTGGTGGCCTCTGGTGGACTAGGCCCAGTGAGCCAGAAAGCTGAGCAGGTGGCTCCTGTTGCCCAGGCCTGGGGCCCAGCCCTGGCAGTGCCGGAAGCCAGGGGCTGCCCTGGGGGGGCTGGCTGGGAGCCACTGCAGCGGAAGGATTATGGCCGATACAACCACAGATTCCCCCTCGCAAGGCAGCCGGAGAGCTTGGGCTGGGAGGATGGCTGCTCCAGAAGCAGAGCTCCCCGCCTGGGTGGCCCCAGCAGGCCTGGGCCCCTGCTGCTGTGTGGGCTGTCACCAGGGGTTCTACCGATGCCCTCTGAGGCAGGGGGGAAGGAGGCCGGCTCCCAGCCTGACATCTGCATCCTTACCCTGGCCATGATGATCGCAGGCATCCCCACTGTGCCTGTCCCAGGGCTTCGGGAAGAGGACCTGATCCGGGCGGCTCAAGCTTTCATGATGGCCCATCCGGAGCCAGAGGGGGCCGTGGAGGGGGCGCGGTGGGAGCAGGCCCGTGCCCACACAGCCTCTGGGCAAATGCCCCTCATGAGATCCAGGAGAGGCCAGCCTCCTGGCTCCTGCTTGTAGCTGGATGAAATAGCACCAGACACACAGGGCAGCTTCTCTGTATGGTTTTTGGGCGGACAGAATTGGGAGTGCCTGTGACACGGATGGGGATAGCGTGGTGGTATGAACCACTCTTGTCAATACAAGTTTTTCATCAGGGCCCAGACCCAGGAACTTTCTCCAGATGCCAGTAAGTCAGGAGACGGGACTTCTCAGAGTAGTTACAATGAAAATCACCTGAGGTAGAGGGCCCGGCTTGGAGTGGAGGCCTCTTTTGTCTTGTTTCAGGATTTGATCAAGATTGTGGTGCAAAGTCCTAGGCAGCGTGAATTTTCCTCTTGCCTGACATTTCCCAGCCAGCTGAGGGCAAGTGATGGGACCGGTGTCAAGGAAGGAAGATGAACACTTGAGCGCCCACTGGTCATGGGCCCATTACAGGCAGGCTCTCCTTTAATCTCATCAGTGCTGGGAGGATATCCATTTTTACAGATGAACAGATTGAGCCTTTTGAGGGGTGACTTGCCTGATGTCCCAGAGCTAGTAAAAGGTACAACCGGGCCTCAAAAATCAGGCATTGAAAGAACTGGGATTTGCACATAGTGGCACACTCCAAAGTCTATTCTTTGCATGATATTTGCTCTGCTGTCTTCTA